ACGAGTGAAGCACTTTACTCTGCCGGTCGGCCTTGCCCGACTATAATGTTCGTACTTGTTTTTTAAGCTGGGCTTCAAAATATTGCAGTCATTTGGAGGACAAGCGTTGACTTTTGATGAAATTAACGAAAGGTTTAACTTGATATTAAAATCTTCTTTTCCTTTTACTTTTACGCGTTTCAGTAAATAGTAGACGCATCAGATAGATAGACTGACATGATTCCAACTTTCCTAAACATATTTGCGCGGAACGGTAAAAATGTTCATGGCATTAGATGTTCGAGGCCAAGTGCCGAAATTAAACGAAAACTTGAGAAGGAGGAGAACATTATCTCGATTATTCGATAACTGTATTATGAAAATTATATTTTGAAAGGATGTAATTGACAAAGTATAACCTGCAACTACAGTACATCATCATCAATATTTTCAAGACAAAAGAAGGGAAAATACGAAATTTGAAATATTTTCGTAAACTCATCAAATACTGATTGAAAATGTGAATATCTTGCTTATTAAAGCCCCTTGAAAATGATATATAGAGTTGAACTCGAGCAAATAAATCTTCTATAGGCCAACAACTTCGTAAGGTCGACTGTCAAGTATTTTTCGTCTTTTTGGTTTGAGATGACCAATCACTGGGTAGTTGCTGGATAGAAGTGAGGAAAAGGAATGAAGTACGAAGGTGGCTGTAGCCTAGGGTATCTATGCCCAAGGGTATCTATCACCATAGGAAATTGTATCGCGCTGGGATTCGAACTTGCAAAGATTGACTTGTTAGTCACGATTTTTATTTACCCGGTTGAGGGTGGATTGAAATTAAGTTAAGTCCTAATAATAAACGTTTTAAAAACTCCAATTGGTGCGATGACTGTGAATGCAATCGACCGAAAAAAACCGATCGAATCCATTAAATTCTAATTCTCAGCATAATTATTCTCATTTAGTTTGATATTTTAGTTGGCCGTAATTTTGAAAATTTTTGAAGGCTACGAACACGTCTAACAACTAAGCCATTTTGTACTCATTTCGTATGATCTCGTCACGTCAGTGATTTGACAATCACATAACCCATTTGGGAAAAAAATTCGAATTAATATTAATGACGATTAACATTAATAACGGTTAACATTAATAAAAATGCTAAAAATGCGTCAAAATGCGTCAATTTATAATGCTTTCCACATACGCATAGCCATGTAGGGGAGAAAAAAATCTTATATCTTAGTTGGAGTTGTGCAAATACTAGTGATATTAAACCTTAGTCCTAACCTTAGTCTTATAAAACAACGAATTTTCAGGAAAACTTATTTTGCAAATCTTTTCGAGTGAACCGAGTGATCATTCAATCGATCTGGTTGACTCCATGCAATGTGTTGGCGTAGAACTTGATTGCAAACTTAACTTTTAACCGCAACGTTCTGCAAACTAAAGATTATCTTCTCTCTATATATGAATCTTTATTTGAATAAAAACTCTGACGCAAAATCTTTGCAAGTTTTATGTTAAGTACTTATTGAAATCCTCATCCGGTTGCCCTTATTACATGCGTTAACGGTATTACATGCTTCACTTACAATATCACTCTGAGCCATATGCGATTACGCTTTTAAAGATCCAATAAAAGTTTTTTTTTGTACTAATACCATGTGGTTCCAACTCTTTGGCTGAACAATTATTTATTGTCCGTACCGGTCGACATTGGGAGGCGTTGCCACTGGCTTTGCATACGTATAGAATAAATTTTTGTTGCTGACAGGAATCGATTACTAAGGATCTTTTATGCAACAAGATGATTATACCAGCAGTCCTTCAATCTTATACTAATGTTATGAACTCCATTGAATTCTGTGCATCTTGTATTTACATATATTGACCTATGGCTTTACAGTTATGGTAATGAAAAACGAAACTTATATCAAGGCAACGATTGATCGATCAATCATTTGCATTCTCTCATTATATCGAATCATAAATTCAGCTAAAATCAACGAAAGAACGCCCTTCGTGGCGTTCAATTTGAGTATACTTTTTATTCGGATAAAAGATGGAATAAGATGGAATAAAATTTCGAGTGTTTGTTAAAACTATTTTGATTATAACTTCAACTTAGGCAGCTTAGCTTCTGATTGAAATAAAATTTTATGCAAAAATTCAGAAAATTATTATTAACCTGACCACGAAATTATGTTCTCAGTAACAATTCGTTAAATATCTAATATTTGCAGGTAATTAAAACTTTAAAGTCGATGTACGGCCGTTTGCCTTCCTGTCGGTCGGCTTCTTGACATCTCAATAAAATCTATGCAACTAAAGTGAAAAAAAAGAAAAAAAGAAATTTAGTGTCCAAGTCAAGGCAGTTAGTTAAGTAGAGGCACTGATCTTGGAAAAATCAATTGTTGAAGATAGGCTTAGTATTTAATAAAGAAGATCGCCTTCGCTATGAAAAGCTTTTGCTTTTCGTAACCTTTCTGCTTATGACTTGAAATCGAGAGAAGCAGAATATTTTTAATTTCCAGTTACGTACATTATCATCCTAAAATATTATTATAAAGTGTTCAGGAAGGAGACGTTCCAAATTTTCTACAAGTGTGTGCAGAAACTGTGTGTTAAAATTTTTTTCAATTTTTCTTCTTTGCAAACTTTTGCGGCAGGATGATGAGAAGGAAGGGGTATAACGATGTTGTCAAAACAACCCGGAGGCAGTTTTACCACAACACCACAACAAGTGTGTACATATTCTTAGTGAACACAAGCGTTTTGTGATTCATTTAAGTGTGTAGGTCCATCCGTTTTCTGTTTCTCTATTTATTTGTGTCTGTTAAGCAGTCACCTCGCCTTTTGACATGAACAGGTTGGTATTGAAAATGGTCCCTAAATTGATAAAAGGAAGGACACGTCTACAGTAACGCTTCTGTTTTCAAAAGCAACGTGAAATTGCCTTTTTGTTCATACCTCATCAAGTAAAACAGATAGAATTGTAAAATTTTCCACTTACACGTTAAACGCGATCCCGTAGTACTAGTACAAAAACGAAAAACAACCCGGCCCACACTCATCCACTAAGTGATCGATAATATAAGTTATTCTGTCGAAATGCTTGCAA